ATGAAGATTTTTCCTGAGGGGATGATGATTTCCCCTGTATGTTATTGAGAGATGAGAATTTCTCTCGAGGGGATGAGGATTTCTCCTGCATACCGATAGCTCGACGGTGGTTGGGCGTTACAAGCTGCAACATTATCTCCATGAAGAAGTAAATTTTGATAAGCAATCTCGCCATTGAAGAAGACATTGTCAAAGTGGAAGTCTTCAAAATGAAAACATCAACTAGTTTGCTATTAAAAAAAATTCTTTAAAACATCAAGTAATTTGATACAGAGTGAGTAGTTATAAAGAAAGGCAATTGGACTAATTGTAGCCTTCCCACAAAGCAAATGTAAAGTACAATCCTTACTTCCGTCAGAAAGGTAACGAAAAAGTATAAGAGAAAACTTTTATTGCTAAAAATTAAAAATATATTACCAAAAGAAACATGTAAAAAATGTTTACCAAGACTAAAGTCAATTAGTTTGGACAAAATATGAACTCACATCAATGTGAATCTGGACACAATAGGATTAGAGTGGAGAAGGAGATAAAGAGTTGAAGTGTTGCAATACAATGGAACCAGTAAGTCTAAAGGAGATGCAAAGGTTAACATAGCAAACATAAAGAATATCAGGTAGCGCAAAATCTGATTCGATAGAGCAGCCTAGTTAGATGATGGAAATGACAAAACCAAATAACCATGTTGGAGAATCACATCGGGATTTGCCTGACTTTTTCCTCAGCTCCATCCATCATAAAGAGTTTGTTCCTAATAGTTTGGGAGATCTCAACAATAATAAAAGAAGATATACTACTTGTTGAGCTGAATAGACGACTGTTCCGCTTGTGCCATATAGTGTAGAGAGAAGCCTGAAAAGTAAGCTTGACTATCTTGGAGATGCGTCTAGGAGAGAATCAATCCAGGTGATGATGTTCTCAAGCCAATAGGAAATGGTGGTAAATGGGAGAGAAGTTTGACCATATGTATTGGCTTGTAACACCTTGAAAATCGTGCATGGGAGAAACGACATTTTTAGAGCATCTCCATCAATGAGTCTCGTAACAAGAGACTCTAATTTAAAAAATATTCA